CTGAAGTGTACCTGGCGTATAAGACGACCCCCCACTTGGAGGCATATTTTTCAGGGCCAAAAAATCGTCTTATACGCCGGCAAATACGGTAATGCTCTTTCCATCATACCACAAAGATGTCTTTTCAGCTTCTGTAATATCTTCCCTCTTGTGATGATTTTTATTTCTAATTTCCATTCAACTTTTCCCATGCTTCTTAAGTGAAGCACCAGGATGAGGAAAATTATGAATTATAGTTTACATTCTTTAATATTCACATCTGTAGTTCTTTTTGACTATTTTAATCAGTACCTTGCCTATACTTTCTGCTTCCTTCTATACCTTCTAATGATGATCTTGCACTTGGTTACCTATTTCTTGCTTTTTCTTTTCTTTTTTATTCTTTATTTCATATCCTTATTTGAATTCTATTTTTAGGCAGATAATATATTAAAATGATTTATGAACAAAAACATGTTAAAAAGGTTTAGTAAAAATCATCTCTCCCAGGGTTCTTTCTTCTCTGTCCAGCTCCTACTCCCAATAGATAATCATTAATTACAGTTTTTAGTGTATTTTCCAGAATTATTCTTTGTGCAAAAATGTCTTCCCACTTTGTTTTTTACCTCAAAGGTAACATGTTTACCTTTATACACTGCTTTTTTTATTTTAAGATTCTATTGGGGGACTGGGGGAGGAGAACAGCATTGGGGAATCGGGGAAGAGGAACAGACAAGGTGCTGTCCTTTCGTTCTTCAGTCTAGTTGCGGAGGACGGCGCTTCACTGGCCCACGTTGGTATTATAATTGTGCTCTTCCCGGGTGAGGCAGTCTCGGGTGGCCATTGGATGGCTGCTTACAGTGGCTCACAGTGGCTCACGAAAGCTCACGCCCGCTGCCGGCCAGCCCCACTGCAGCCTACGCCGTCGCCAGCGACTCACGGCAGCCCAGCTCCAGGTGGAGCTGTTGTTCACCATCTTAGTTATAGAGGGCACAGCGTCACTGTCCCTCATATGGGATCCGAACTGGGGCCTTGATGCTCAGAGCTGGCGTCCCAAGCCAACTCTTAACCAACGCGCCACTCGGCCGGCCCTATACACTGCTTTTTAACTTAACAATTAAATGCTGGAAATCTTTCCATCTCAGACATATTAGGACATAGAGAGCTACCTCATTACTGTTTTTAAACTTAAAAGAATTTTATTTACATGATTGCAGACTTAAAGAAAAATTATAAGAATAAAAAAAATTCTTTCCTCTCCTCTCCCTTTTTCTCTCTACAATTTTTATGGACTGCTTAAGAGTAAGTTGCAGACATGATACCCCTATATGCCTAAAAATTTAATGTTTATTTCCTAAAAAACAAGGAATTCTCTTACATAATAATAATGTAGTGATCAAAATCAGGAAATTAATACTGATACAGTACTGTTGTTCTAAACTACATAGTTATTCA